GGCAGCCTTGGGGAAAGACTGAAAGGTGCCCCAGTGGATTCTGCCACCTGGGTGTGACACAAATCCAAACGCCCAAGCTCTCCCTATATCTGTCCCTTTATGACCGGCTGAAGTTCTTTTAAATTGTGCTTGGTTCTGTTACAGCAACTGAAGGAGTCAGGTTAAAACTTAAACAGTTACAGGTTTATTTGAGGAAGCTTATAAATCATATGGTTGCAATGGCTATTGTTCTATTTCTTAACTATTAGCAAAATATAGATCTTAAAAATGGTTACAAAGAAGATAAAGATAGAAAAATAGAAATAATGGTACCAAGTAACAGCTTACTCTTTCTATGTGTACACTTAAGACAGAGGACCACATCCAGGTACAATTTTTACCCCCTTCTGTGCTTCTCGACTCCAGCATGTCAGGCCAGGGCCAGTCCCTCAATTCCTAGGAAAGACGAAAATACGAGGTGGGCGTCCCCATAGAACCTCGGGAGGTCAAACACCTAAGCCGACCAGCAGGTAGAGGGTAGAATGACACTCAAAGTGAGTGTGTGCTGGGCCCATCTTTTATACTCATGGGTTCACGTATTTCTCTTTCTTATCTGTCATGCCAAATGGGGCTGGTCTGTCTTTTGTGAGACCAGTTCTTACAAGGGAGTTGTGAACTTAATTTACACTTGTAAGAGAGATAACTAAATTGGAATTACTGGGGATTCTTTTCTCAGTGGGAAATTCCTCTTCCAGGGACTGTGTGTGTGTTCGAATCAACATAGGTGCCAGCCGGTGGCAGTCTCGCATATCCTGATCTCTCCTCATATCTATGTTTCAGCTTCTCAGGATCAGATGAGCCAGCATAGACTATGCTGATTTTAGTGCTCCTTCTCTGTCCTGTATGCTTCAGGAAGGCAAATAAGATGGATGTGGTGGAGGCGGGCTGTCTGGCCACATCTTTTTTTATTTTACCTTCTAAAATTACCCCCTTCCCACTAGCATTCACTATGTTAGGTGTTCCTTCAGACTTCTTGGTGAAGACGGAAACAAAGAAGTCATTGAGCATCTCTGCCATTTCCAAGTTTCCTATTACTGTTTCTCCCTCCTCACTGACCAGTGGGCCTACCCTCTTCTTGGTTTTCCTCTTGCTTCTAATATATTTATAAAAAGTATTCAAGTTTCCCTTTATTCCGGTAGCTAGTTTGAGCTTATTCTGTGCCTTTGCCTTTCTAATCTTGCCCCTGCATTCCTGTGCTGTTTGCCTATATTCATCCTTCGTAATTTGTCCTACTTTCCATTTTTTATATGACTCCTTTTTTATTTTTAGATCATGCAAGATCTTGTGGTTAAGCCAATGTGGTCTTTTGCCATATTTTCTATCTTTCCGACACAGCAGAATAGCTTGCTTTTGGCCCTTTAACAATGTCCCTTTGAAAAACTGCCAACTCTCCTCAGTTGTTTTTCCCCTCAGTCTCGATTCCCATGGGACCTTACCTACCAGCTCTCTGAGCTTACCAGAATCCGCCTTCCTGAAATCCATTGTCTCTATTTTGCTGTTCTCCCTTCTACCCTTGCTTAGAATTGTGAATTCTGTGATTTCATGATCACTTTCATGCAAGCTGCCTTCCACTTTCAAATTCTCAACTAGTTCCTCCCTATTTGTTAGGATCAAATCTAGAACAGCTTCCCCCTTCTGAAATAAAAATTTGTCTCCAATGCAGTCCAAGAACTTATTGGATAGTCTGTGCCCCGCAGTGTTATTTTCCCAACATATATCTGGATAGTTGAAGTCCCCCATCACCACCAAATCTTGGGCTTTGGATGATTTTGTTAGTTGTTTAAAAAAAGCCTCATCCACTTCTTCCACCTGGGTAGGTGGCCTGTAGTAGACTCCTAGCATGACATCATCTTTGGTTTTAATCCCTTTTAGCCTAACCCAGAGACTCTCAACACTTCTGTCTCCTATGTCCATCTCCACCTCACTCCAAGTGTGTTCATTTTTAATGTATAAGGCAACATCTCCTCCCTTTTTTCCCCTGTCTGCCCTTTCTGAGCAAGCTGTACCCTTCTATAGAAACATTCCAATCATGTGTATTATCCCACCAAGTTTCTGTGATGCCAACAATGTCATAATTGTACTTATTTATTAGCACTTCCAGTTGACAGTCTTCAGGATGATCCCAGCCACTACCTTGCACTTCTTGAGCATTTCATTTACTCCAGTGCCCTTCTTTATCTCTACTTCCTTTAATTTCCAGCATCCTTCCCCTCATTACATCTGACCTTATTGCAGGCAAAACAAAAGAATCATTGTCCAACAGCCAAAGACAACCAAAATGTTGCTATTTAATACAAGATACTTAATTTTGTTTTGCTAGAGAAGCTGCTGACATCAGCTTAAAATATATCCTAATTGCGGTGATGGACTAATGCCTCTGTCTAAAAATGTAAATCAACCTCCCACTTAACCTGCATTTAGTAATATAAAATTTAACTGGGTGTTTTTCTTGACTTGACCTGCTACTTTGTTGAATGGCTTCTGCGTCTTAACATTCTGCACTCTGACCTTGTATTTACCTCTGAGCATTGAAGTAATCTTGGAGTATAAATTCATTTGCACCCTTTACAATGGTAAGCTCAGTAGGTTTTCTTTAGCCTCTGTCATATCCTGTCTGTTATTATCTGAGCACTGCTCGTTCTTGCATTTGACAATTCTTACCTTGCTTACTGCAATTCTTCCTTTAGGGCCTCCCAAAAACTGTTACCTAAAATGTGAATATTAGTCTTTCAACATCATGTGGGTGCATGCATGCACACTGTACACATTGTTGTATCCTTACCAACTTCAGTATCCACTGAAAAACTGTTGTAGGAATTTTGAAAATGAGGACCTTTTGTCATAACTCTTCCTACTACTTCAGTTTATTTCCACTCAGTTTTACCTTTTGCAGTTCCAAGCTCCCTGTGCTATCCTTTTTTGGACATCACACCCTGAGAAAGCTTATTGTAACAATCTGAACTAAGTCTCTCTCACTTTTTTTTAAAACCATCTCACAACCAATCTCTTCCTTGTCACCTACAACTAGAAAGCATTGTCAGTTCCCCAAAATATCATTTGCTGATTTTATGAGCTTATGTTCTCAGCTAATCTAATTTATTAATTTACCATTACACATCATAATTTCTATATTGTGTTAATTGTGTGAACAAATTAGACAATAAAATAGCCCAAATTAATATAAAACTTATTTTTTCTTCAGAGTTATAAATAACAGTATTTTATTTAAATTTTGCTTAAATAGTTTTAAATCTGCTAATAATGTTACTATAGCATGTTTCTTGTCTTAACTGGCATATCTGCTTTTGAGGAAAGGGTGAGATTTTTATCTCCCACAAAGTTCACTGCTTGTAATGAAAGTGGCAACAGAACTGCCTTCCCGGTAAGAATTGAAGTCTTCACATAATCTTGTGAATTGAAATCACGCTATTTTATTAGAATTGTCAAAATAATCCATTAAAACATATCTGACAAAAGGGCTTTTATGAAAAAATTGTTTTGTGAAAAATCTTAGCTTTTGATTTTTGACAAAAATCTGTCTTTTTAAATATATTCTTTGTAGCTGTGTTGTAGGGAGAAATCATTTTCTGGCCATGTTTATATTTCAGATAATTTTAGTCCAAGTAATGATTTCAGATATTTGACTTTTTTTATTTTCTTTCCAGATTCTGGAATCCTTGTGGATAGTGATGAGTCGTAATTTAAGCCTACTCTTTACCACAATAACAACATTAGTGACAATCCTCTTCTACAGTGGGACAGCCCTTCTCAATTTTGTGCTCTCACTGGTAAGTAACATGCAGTGGATGGTTTATACAACTTGTCTTACTTCCCTATAAGTTGATGTAGCTTTCAATTCATCTTTAGAACACAGAATGAAAGGTTTAAAGAACATATTTAGTATTGGTGAATTCTTGTTCACAGATTAAACTGGGTTTTTTTTAAAGTGCTTTTGTTTTGTATATCCGAGTAATGAATATTTATACAGAATAAAGGTTTTATAAGCATGAGGTTTTAGGATAACCATTTTGCCCATTCATAAATAATTCAAATAATCCTGTACTTATAAGTGCCTACATCATCAACTGCAGCTATGCATCCAGCCTGAAGAAGGATGGAGATAGTGGTGTATTTACCTGATCCTGGAACCAGTTCATTCTTTGGCACTATTTAAATATCTTGGAAGCTACTGACAATTACTTTATAGGTGTTGCTATTTCCCTAGGGACTGTTCTAGAAACTGGATCATTCTAGGGTATAGGAATGTTCTTCCCAAACATCACCTATTATGGGTGACCGAAGAAGAAAGTATAGTTTTACTTGCACGAAGGGTGTATCGAGAAGCTAATTAATCAAGCTTTCCAGCTGATTTGTGCCAGCAGAATGGTGCAAGGCAGGCAGAATAATCCAAAATTATTTATTTCAAATCATTATGTATTCTGCATATGCCTGAGTCCTACTGCCTATAAAGCTGTGTATTCTCATTGCCTAGAATCCACCTTCTGTACCAGTTTTATAGCAAAAGGAGTAATAAAAAGAACATCTCTCAAAAGTCCTTTAAATGTGATCTAAAATAGCTTTTAAAATTAATAAAAATGCCATGACATCTAAATCTGTTACCTTGGGACTTTCTGGGTTTAGCAACAATAACTGTACCCCTCTTTGCCACCATTCTCATTGAGGACATTGTTAGTTCCTCCTTTGTAGTTTTACAAATCTCCTATTTCTAGACCTGCAGAATCCTGAAAGATTAGACCTTAATCATATCATTGGCTTATAATATAACCTATCCTGAATTTAGACACAGAATAATTTGGGCAGAGGGGAGTGGGAATTCTACTGTTTGATGGAAAAGGAAGGAACATGTAATTGGTAAGGGTTTTTCTTAACACCTCCCTCCCCCCCCCCCCCCAAAACAAACAAAAAAAAAATCTGTCAAAACATGGTCAGGGAGTTAAAATAAGTCCTTGATTGGACAGGTGAGCAGAGTATGACACCTGAAGAAGTGGGTTGTACCCACGAGAGCTCATGATACCATCTACCTGTTCTGTTAATCTTTAAGGTGCTGCTAGGCCAGTGGTTCTCAAACTTTTTGGGCTCCAGAGTCCTTTACATGCGTAAAAATTTATGTGGAGCCCCAGCGGTCCACTGATTGTATGTGTTGTACCTATCAATGTTTCCAGTTTGTCAACTTTGTGGAGCCCCTGGAGATGTCTCACGGAGCCCTGGGGCTCTGCGTAGCAGTTTGAGAAACACTGTGCTAGGCTGTTTTTTTTTTTTTTTCTGATACCAAGAACTGTACAAAGTATTTCTTTAGAAAGGGGGAAAAATCAAATGCTCAACTGCAAAATAGAGAATAACTGGTGAGGTGGGAATACTGCTTGTATGTAAAACATAAAAGGTAACTATCTTGGTCTACTCAATTTAGGTGGTGATAAAAGGTTTAGAAAATGTGACCTATGAAGAAAGGTTAACACAACTAAGTATGTTTGGTCTTCAGTTTTTTCTAAAGGAAAACTGATAAAACCCTGTCTGAAGACTGTTACAGAGAAATCTGTGACCAATTATTCTCCATGTCCACTAAAGGTAGGACAAAAAATTGGCTTTATGTAGCAAGGAATATTTAGTTCATATATTAGAAAAAAACTTTATAACTTTATGGGTAGTTATATGATGGATTAGTATTCCAAAAGGAGGTTGTGGAATCCCCATCACTGGATTCCACTACTGATGCTCTGTAGTTTCCTTAGGAAGTCAGTGGTGTCTCGAAAATAGCTAGGAGTGCTGGTACATTAGAGTTTGCAGAGTTATTAATCTATCCAGCCCCACAGTATCATTTTAAATTAGTACATCTAACATAACTTGTATCCTCAGCCTGTAACCTTTCAGAATCCTTTTAGTCTTGTTGAAAATTTTTGACAGTTTCCACTTATTTTGCTTATAGTTCATTCTAAAATCTAGTATTGTCAGTTTTTCCATAGTACATCTCCAAAGGCATTTTCTCTAGGGATTAATCTATCCAGCCCCACAGTATCATTTTAAATTAGTACATCTAACATAACTTGTATCCTCAGCCTGTAACCTTTCAGAATCCTTTTAGTCTTGTTGAAAATTTTTGACAGTTTCCACTTATTTTGCTTATAGTTCATTCTAAAATCTAGTATTGTCAGTTTTTCCATAGTACATCTCCAAAGGCATTTTCTCTAGGGTAAAATTATCTGGAATTGTAAGCAAAATTACTGATTACATAGTTACTGTTCCGTTGCATTCATTAAGAAAGCATTTACAATAAATTAATTTTTATTTTCCAACTTTTTTTTATTACAAGATGCTTTTTGGACTCGGGTATTAACACTAGTGCACATATTCAAATAATGCTCTTATACCTTTTACTAAAACCAAGCTTTTGTTTAAGTGTGTATCACTTTGTTTTTTGTGTAATGTGGCTTAACTTTTTTTTCTAAATCTGATGGTCACATCTGTGTGGAGAGGTTAGGAATGTTAAAGGTGATTGCTTTCTTTCCATTGCAGCTGTGTGTTGACAGCTGCTACTTTAAAATAACTTAATGGCTGGAACAGAGCCTGTGGCTTGTGATCACTGAGCTAGCTTGGGTCAAGGACTCTGGTCTGAGTGTGTGTTTTTTTTAATCTAAACAAACACTGACCTTGGAAGCATGATGGAAATCCTGCTGGTGTTTTTGTTATGTGTTTTAAAATATGTTTTGAATAATTGTAAGAAAATATAGGCTTACTGTTAGACTAACTTCAGCAGTTAATAGAAACAATGAGAAGAGGATGCAAGATCTTTTTCCATTTGTTTAGATAACTAAGACTGTATAACTTGAATCAACTCCAGTCATCTGAAGAAGTGGGCTGTGCCCACGAAAGCTCATGATACCATCTATATGTTTCGTTAGTCTATAAAGTGCTACCAGACCATTTGTTGTTTTTTTAATCAAATGCTAATTCAGGGCATTTGTGGTGGCCCACAATAACACTTGGGTAAAAAATAAGAGTGGGCCGTGAAGATTTCTTAGCTGAATTGCTACCCTAAGTTACCAAAAAAAATTTCTTACATCTATTAATAGTTTTGCTGTTCTGCAATTGTCCCTTACTTCAACCAGGGGAGAGAAAGCATCAAAAATAAATATTGTGTATACAAATATTTACATTTCTTCCTGGGTCTAATATTTCATCCCTGGTGAAACACTGAAAGTGGTGTTTGTTGTCTAGTGAGATTATATTAGAAATAAAAATATTTGAAGATGAAGTGAGCCTGATGAACAGGTCTTCAAGACCACATCTTTACCCCATTCCTGAATTTCTACCTTTTTTTTTTTTTTTTTTTTTTTTAAAGAAGGGTGTGGGTGGGAAGGAGGTATTTTTGATCCTCTTCTATCTTCTTTGCTTTCATTTATGAATCATTTACAAACATTCTTACCGAAAAAGGAGAACACGCTGTACCATAAAAACTTATGTCAAATGTTTAAATTAAATGTAAACATTAAGTTCTCCTAATGGTAAACCATATAGTAAAAAAAAACTTATTTAAAATTATTTATGGTTATAAAAGAGGAAAAAAGGATATCCTTAGGTTAAGCAGTAAATCTGTCTACTGAGCCTGGTATACAGGGATCCAAACAGTTCACTGGGACAGTTATTAAAATCAACATATTAGTTGTCATTCTCAGAGCTCTGGAGAGCTGGATTTGTTGAATTTAAATTCTTTCCTAGCAAAATATCAGCTGAACTACCATCCAGAGGATGATTTTTCTTTTAAAAGAGCATACATTATTTCCAGAAAAATTCTTGGTCTTTCCACTTATCTCTTCGTGTGGTGCTTTTCTAATGTAATAGGTTTGAGAAGTGCAGTATATTAAGGCATTAGTAAGTGATAACTATTATAGATTTTGCATCTTTCAAGATTCACTCCCTATCATGTATATCAGACGGTATCAGTAATCCTTCATAAGTTCCTCTTCCTTGAGCTTGTATGAGGGGTCCTTACAACTTGTTTCCACATATACTAGATTGTATGAATATCTAGTTGGTGAATATTAGCTGTAATCTTTTTCTATAACCTCTGAGGCTCAGAATCTGTATTCTGAATTCAGTGGATGTGTTAAATCCTGACTTGGTTCTCTGAAGTTTCCAGTTTTCCCTTTTATTAAAATTGTTTTAGTAACAAATTCAGTATGTTCTAGCCTCTACTTCTTTTCTTTGAAAACACTTGAAATTAAAAGGTTGACAGTTTTTCAGAAACTCACTATTTTCTAGCAAGAAAACATTTTTGTAGAGATTTCATCTTATCTGCAGCACCAAGATAATGTTGTCTTAAAATATTCAGACTATCCTTTCAATTCAGCCAGTAGTTAGGAGAGGAACATTTTGCCAAATGCACTATGCTGCTACTCCTGGATTGAAAAAGCCTGAGACTTGTTTTCCACTTATTTCCTCCTATTTTCTGCTTACATCTACAAAAAGTACAATAGATGCTTGTGTGTGATTCGATTTTTTTTTTTTAAAGTCTCTGGAGTTGCTTTTTTCTCTGGGTGCTAAGTTCTGTATCCCCCACCACTTCCTCCTTTAAAAAAAATGGATGCCATCAAGGTGTAACTCAAGGACTCGGGATACAACAGGCCTAGGGCACCAGATTGCATAGGGATACAACGATGCCCTAAGTTCATCATCAAAGAATGTCAGGAAAGGTCTCCACTAAAAGCCTGTGTGTCAGGGGTTGTCATAATCACTGTGTGATGTGTGTGTGGATAATACTAGCAGACTTACC